CTGTTGAAGTCATTTTTTTTATTCTTATTTCATTTCAAGATTGTTCCATTTGAAATAGTTATCAGATTTAATAGTTATTTTATTTTCTGTATGATTTATTGACCCATTTACGTTTTGAATGTATTAAAAAAAGTTTGAAAAAATTATTAATTTCAACTTTTCGTGTTCTTTCTCAAAACAAGATTAAATTTATAAGTAGTTGATAGATTTTTTAAATGATTTAATTTTTGAGAACAGAAAATATAAAGTTTTTCAAAATTTAAGAGGAATTTGTGATATTTTTACAATGTTATAGCAAACTTTACAGGAAATGAATTCCGTAGTTATCAATACTTCATCAAATGTCGAAAATACATCACTATTTTTGTCATCTTCCGATGGAAGTAGTAGTATAAGTGATCCCAGTTCTTCAAGTTCCTCTCGTGAAAGCACTAATGGATTTATTAAGGTGGAACTTAGTGATGTGCTACAAAGGTCTGCTATTTTGTCCATTTTCTATTGAATAAATATTTATGTACGTAGCACTGTATGATATAGTGTGTTATGTACAAAAATAAACATCAAAACATATTGCATTTCCCATCTAAAAGATGCGCGGAGATGGGTGGGATAGTGAAAGTGTTTTGGATTTGCTGCTGCGGTACCATATCCCTGAACCATATGAATGTATCTATTCATATTTTCAGATACACTTAAGTATCTGAATTTTAGATACTTATGTAAGTTTATTACTTTACTAGCAAATATTGAAAGGCAAAAAAATAATTGTAGTAGTTGTGCAATATGTATTCTTGGGAAAAAAGATCCCAAGTGACATTCTTTCCTATTTTGTATTTTTATCTATTTTGCTACCCTGTAAGGTGTAATGCCGACTTTCTGATTCATGAATGCCATCACATCATATCAGCAAACATTGCACTGTATTTCGGTAAAAGTGAGGGAAATCACTGTCCCTTTATAAGTTCTTTAGGTATTAGATCTTATACTGTTTCGTTATATAGTATACTGATTATTTATCTTCAGTGCCTAAAATAAAAAGTTTGAATCTTTTTACCATCTCCTTTTGTACTATTTTTGATCTTGAATGTTTTTATATTGCATCTGAAGGTAGATTTGTTAGTTTCCTTCAAAATCAAGTTTTAAAAATTGATGAGAGCTAGACTGTTGTGTGCTAGAAAAACCGTATTGTATTATGTAATCGAAAAATAATTTTATTTCAGAAGTAGTTTAATGGAAAGCGCAACTTCTGGTCAAGAGAAAAAGCTTCTGGAGCTCAGTGATGACAACCGAACAGACGTAAGTTCGCATTTCAATTACTGCTTGTATTTTTTAGACATCTACAAACAGTAATTGTGTTTATTTATCGCTTGTTTGTGTCGAACAAATTATAGAAATGGTTTGCCGTGTTGCATGAATGAATTAAATCCGTAGCTGTTTTCACTTCAGATATATTCTGACTTTGTTTTTCATTTCTTTTCCTTCCATTTATAGTAGATTCGCTCTTTTGTTTGATTTGCTCCTATTCATTCATTCATTCAGTGGAAAGCAAATCTTATAAGACACGTTATTGCATTATATATATATCGATTTAAGGCTTAAGTAAAAGAGAGTAAGGAAGATAGATGTATGTTTGGGATTCATTGTTGTATCCCAGATAAAATGGCCTTTGCTGCAGTGAGGTTTCAGTCATATAATAGACATGTGGGGCATTGAATGCCAGAAAGTAATTACAGCGTTCTTTTGATTGAGAAAGAGTTGCATTGTTGTGAGTCTCTTCAGACAAACCACAGTAATTGAGTAAGTAAAAGCATTTGATTGCATTGTTTTTGCAATACTAATAATTTTACACGCTAGTACGTGGATCATCATACTTTGCACTACATCAGCTGTGACGTTTACTTAGTTAAAGCTTAATCTAAGTACTTAAAGATGAGATGTACTTACTGAAGTAAGGAATAAGCATATGATAATTGAGCAAGTCACTTGTACACAAACTGTTAATTGCATATTTTGTTTGCTGCGTTACTCTCTCCTCCAAGTGCTATCATTTTATCATATGCTTTGTGATTTTATAAAAAATGTCACTTAAATCTGATCAGTAGTTCATTTATTTTGTCTATTTGCAATTTCAAGACGACTGAATTAAATTTTAAGTAACTGAAACAAAAGAAAAATTAGTACGCATGTATGAAAGATAATAGAGCAATAACGTGAATGAAACAAGTGACTGACGTATAATTTCTCACGTAGACTTTGATTACACGTTTTATTTGACTAATTAGTGTACGAGGAAGCTACACCACGATCAAATTTGTAGTTTGCTGGTGTTAAATTTATTTCCTTTATGTGACGTGTATTTGTTTCATTTATGTTGCAGCAGCGTTTTATGTATATGTGTAAATTTAAGCGTGAAAAATGTTGGAAGCAGTGTGCTTAGTCATACTGCAGTGGAAGAATAGTTACTAAGTGTTATGTACGAAGATATTGAGAACAATTTTAGGTAGCAATAAAATAGAAGATAGTGGTAGTGATAATAATAATAGTTGTAATATAGTAGTAGTAATGATAGTTAATAATAATAATGATAATAATAATAATAATAATCATATGTATAATTGTTGTTTACATTAGCGATTTTATTAGGAAAAAAGGAGGTAATTAGAGATAAGTACAGTTTGCAGTTTGGTTAAACTAAATTTTCACGTATACTTTTATGTGATCATATTTTGTTAAACTTAAGCTTAACGTGTAATTATTCTTTGGTAGTCAGAAGCTACTTATCTTTCTTATATCCTCTAATAGTAAGTAAGTATTATTGATGTAAATTTGCGTTACACTTTTGTGTTAAATTGATTGCACTTGGTATTTGTTCTTCATTGTGTATTGAGTAAATTTTTTGTCATCATTGTCTTGATGTGTTATGCAGATGTGAAAATGCATTACTTTCATTTGTGCAGCAATTCTGTCTTCTCTCATCTTCTAAGAAAGTATTCACAAAGTAGACGATGACTACTGAATCAGATATGCTAGTGTTGATGTATATATATATATATATATATACTGAACAAAGTTTATTACCAGAAGGTGTTATTGGTTTGCACTTTGAAAGATTGTACTGCAATGGTAGTTCACTTCTGATTGATTTGTTTTGCAAGACTTTTTCTTGTTGACTCATATCAATATCAGGCTTTTTGCATCTTTGCTTGGATTATTATTGTATAATATTTCGATGTACGTAAAAGATTGAGAATTATTCAGAAGGCTCGTATTGTAGAACTAATTACTAGATCAATATACAAGCTAGATAAAGTTATGAGTGCTCGTACGCTGAAACTTTTTGCAATGCAAATCCTCTCAATCATTAAAAGGGTGGAGAGAGAGATAGCTTATTCCAAAATGATATTCAATAATTGATTTGTACTGCTCGTTATTTTTGCAAGGTCATTCGAGTTGTTTCTTAGCATGTTGTTTTGTTATTGTATTGATAATCTAGATGATATATGATGTTTTAGATATGAAAATCTTCAAAGTCATGTTATTGAGTAAAAAATTTGTAGGAAAGCGCTATGGATCATGAACTTTATACAGAAGAACCAAGGAATACTGTTTTGCTTCGAGATCAAGATTTAACGCAAAGTGCTGTTGATAAAGTAACTGGTGTAATTGATACAGGTAAGCACTTTTTTTTTTGCTCATTTTACTGCTAGATTATGGTAGCATTTATTTTATCATTGATTGTTTCCAGTTTCCATATAAGGACAAGCTAGTGAACTAGTCTTTGAACTACTGCTCTGCTTTTAAAGTTTGATTAACTCGTTCAATAACATCAACATTAGTTTCCAGTTTTCTATAGACAGAAAAAGTGCCTAAAAGTCGATGAATAAAAATTTTGGCCTATTTAATTAGCAAAATATCGCTGTGCCACATTTTTTTTAACATTTCTGAACTATAGATTAGATTAGACTAGATTAGATTAGATTAGATTATTATGAAGATGCATTATAGAATGCAAGGAAAAATTTGAGTTTAATGTCTTACATTATTGTCCGTTTTTTTTTTCGTCTTATTTTTTTGCAAAATGAAAATAAAGTTTTGGAAGCATGGAAAGTGTTTGTTTTGCTGCTTTAAAGCACAAAGTTAGAAAAATAAAAGTATTAAAATGTTAATCTTGGCAAAGTTGTCACTGTGTACGTTGTGTACGTTAGTGTGTAAATCTTAGTTGTAATATATTCATTGCTTGCCTACTTAGCATTTAGGCTTTATCTTAGAGAAAACTTATTCTGTGAAATGATGCGTTAAATAATTAACTGCATTTTAAAAAGTGATGAATAAACAGTATTGATGTCACCATAAAAAAATTAAACCATAAATTTTTATTAAAAAAACTTAATCAATGAAATGATGCGTTAAATAATCAATAAAAAAATTTTTTTTAAATAATAATATTAGTAAATTCTTCTTCTTTAATTGTTTCAGGTATAGAAAAATTGGCAAATATGGCTGGTAAGATTGTTGACGATAACAAGGAGACAGGAAGCAAGTTTCTTGAAGATCAGGCTTGCTCAAACGAAAATATAATGAGTGGTGCAGTTAAAAAGATGGAAGATGAGGATCGTATATTATTGACTCTGGCTAAAGATGTTTCTTCAGATGCTTTCTCAAGTGGAGTTCAAGGTCTTTCGAGTACTGCAGATAAAGCTAGCAACGTGGGTACACAACTGAAATCAGATGTGAATGAAGCTATTGGCACGAACACAATAGATCCATTTCTTAGTAGAGCACATGGTAAGAGTTCTACTTAAAAAAACATTATGTGTGTAAAAAACAATTTACAAGATTCTAGAGATTTTTCTGAAGCTATACATCTGTTTTGGACGAGCAGTTACATGACATCAGATTTTCACATTCAAGTATTTCAAAAATTTCTCATAAAAGTATTTTTGCAAACTATGAAAGCTAGTTAGATACTCTTGTCTCACATTTATCCTTGCAATTTCACTGAGATCATAAAATATAGTATTGGCCTAATGGAAAAAAGGGACTTAAAATTTTCTGAGAAATAATTTATGAGTGTCTGTTGTCATTAGCAACTTCTATACACACGTAATATCACTAATTATTAGCTGCCACAAATCACATAAAAATGCAGTAACTATGAGTAGAATTGAAAACTTATAAACTATATAGAAATGAAAACAGTATTCTTTTTAAATCATTGTGACATATATATTTGTAGATATTGGTCAACAGATGTTGTCTGATACCGATGACAAATTTTTGGATACAAAATTGCCTGAGAGTAAACAAAATGTGCAAGAGGAGGAGGTGATTCAACTGAGCAGTGACCAGAGCAGTACTAATCCTGCTGTTCAGCGTGATACATTGCTTGTTGACTCCACTTCTACTGACAAGGGAGATGTGAAATATTCATCGGAGAAGTGGTACTCTGATTGGGAAAGAAAACTTGAAGTTACTGACGATAATAAAGCCGATGCCAGAAGTACGGATGTTTTCTTTGTTTTAAAAAGAAATATTTCTGTGACTCTTACTGTATGGTACCTTTTCATATAATAATAGCATTTAGTTTTATGTTACCATTAATTTTCATGCCCTCACTGAAAATATTCTTCAGAAATTTTGACAGAATATTTCCAGTTATTTTATTGCTTGCTAAAAGTTCATACTGCTACATGTCTTACAATCTTATTACTTTGATAACTATTTCTTAGGAATGTAAAATTCATAGTGAGAAACACTTATTCTTGACTTGATGAAATATCTTACATTGTTCTGTAATGGTACCGATACTGATAATACCAGACAGGATATTTATTACACAGTAGTATAACGACAAATATTAAATCACTGCTGCTTGAAATTATTATCTCTCTTATTTACATAAACATCTCTTACAGCATTGTCGCTGTATAGGAGGTTAATATTCTTCTCTGCATCATTGATTCTGAATCGTGTTCTGGCACTCTCCTTCACTCGTCACGCTCTCACATCTGCTGTACTAATCATCGTTGCTTTGTTGAATCTACAGCTATCATCTAATGAGATGCTTTCGAGCGTCTAAGTTCTGTCGTTTGGATACATGCCTCGACATAATCAGTATATCTGTAACTATCGCATCCCAAGTTATCACATACGGGATTGTATTCGTCAATTTGCGAAAGTTATTCAAGTTTACCTTCTTTTCAATGCTTACTTTCCACCTCATGGCTTCTTATCTTGCTTTGTCATCTTTTCATAGCATTGTTATTCTACTTCGAGCTGCTTTGCAATACCAGTCATTGATTTAAGGGAATTCTGTATGGCATATTCATCCGTCATTTCGTTCATGGCCCGAAATATGAGTGAGTCAACTTCTCCGAGATTATTTTCCGCGTTCACTTTGTCTTGTTTATCTCACATCCTTGAACCTCTTGCATCGGTGACGCTATGTATCTTGATACGCGTCGCTGTCTCGTCTTATGCGAGCATGAGCTACGGCACCACTAGTGATGGCGAAATTCGTTTGCTTCTTCAATTCTTGGTAGGAAGGACACAAGGGCCATCCACTCTTCGGCATCCTCCCAAAGCGGTCAAGAATCTCTTTCATTACCTCACTTGGTCACTCGTTCTGCTGAATCTCAGTTTCGGAAATGATTGCTTCAGGCGTAGTCATCCTGCTATACCTAGTTCCTAGGAGTTTTTTTACAACCTCATCTGTTTTCTTTTGTCATCACAAATGGGTTTTTCCGTTCATCCTTCTTTTCGTTACCAAACTTTTTATATTCTTGTCTGCAAATCAACACCGCATTCTTCTGTCTACTTTGGGGTATCCAATCCACTCAACAATAGTCTTTTCTTCTTCTATGCAAGCCTCTCTCCTTTACTTTCTTTTGTTCCATTTTCGTCCCTCCAAAAGTAGAAGTACTGCAACAAGGGATTGCATGAGTATGATCGTTATAATCGGTAACTTTCTTTCGTTTCTTGCAAGACGCTGGTGAAGTGTAAAGTTTTTCTTGACCACGTCCCTTGATAATTGGATTGCCGGTCTGATTAGTTTTCCGTCGTTTTACTACCATTTCCATTGTTGTGACTTTCTCTACTGTATGCAGGTACCACTGCTTCCATTATTGTAACTGGTCGCTCTGGTTCTTACTTGCTTCCATAATAGCATCATAATAATGTCTGTCTCTGTAGCTTGCAAGGGTAATGAGAGATAAGAATAAAAATCAGAAATAGCTAAAATATAATGTGCAACTTGCAAGATACCGTCTGCGTTGCAAATGACCCAGTAATAAGTATTTAAGTAAATTAAACGAATAGTAACGAATCAAAGAAGATTGCCAAATTTGCTTAAAGTCAGGCACTGAGTTTTTTTTACTACAGTAGCAAATATTGATTTTTATTTGCATTAATTTACTCTTAATGCGTGCTAAATTTTTATAGCATTATCAGATTTAGCCTGACTTGAAATGGCCGCTATTTCCTTAACACAAGTAAGTGAGTATATGACAGTGAAAGGAGCTGGAAATTGGACATAGTGTTTCCAACTTTCGTCATCATAATTTATATGACTATAACTTTGTTTCAGATCTGTATCTGTATCATACATTTTTTAAACCTGCACTTGTGCTGAATCTTACGCTTCACCATCAATCATTTAGTTCCACAATGTTAGCTCATTTTCTATTATGCTGGCCACATAGAAGAATCAGCATCACTCTGCAATTTACTGATTGTTATATATGAAATGATTATGGCTGACAAAGTTAGTCAGTAGTAAGATTCATTTTTAGAAAGCACGATTGATGACGAAGTAACTGATATACATGATCAGGTAGACTCATTAATCGAAAGGATGCATGCTGTGAGTGCTCCACAATACGGTAAGTTTAAAGGACCATTGGTGACTCGTCTTTTCACCGTATTATTAAAACATTAACAAGTTTGTTTTGTGGAATATTATCTGCCTTCTATTTTATTCAGTTAATGACTTTATATTTTACAGATGATAGTAGTGTAGAGGAAAGCACATTCGACAGAAAAGGACCTTTAACAATACCGCAGCAAGTAAGTTACCAAAACATTATTTACGATTTTAAAAATAATAGTTTTGTAACAATCTAATTGTATAGAATCCCGGTTTGAAAACAGTGGTACATTATTTTGGTTGACTTTGCGAAATGATAATGTTCTATCTTTAAATTGTGTTGTAAACATGACTGTGTTTACTGACTCATAATTTTAGTTCTTTTCTATTGTATCCCTTTTTTTTCCATTTTCTACTACAGTCTATAATTATTTCTTTTCTCTTGAATCCACTTTGTAGCCCCACAGTAATTTTTTTAAGCTTTGACTTTTAGCCATCAGAAAATACTGTGCAGCTTGACGATCATCTAGACCAATTAAGACATCGGTATGTCTTTCCAGTTAATTTTTGGTCTTGATTATGTACTGCATTCGATGAAAGTGCAATCTCTTCTTTAATTTCTAGATTCTGAGCGAATTTATTTGCAAAATTTCCAAATCTTTTCACTTTTAGCGGTTTTGAATTATCTCCTCGTCCACCGACTCCACCGAAAGAACTTGATGATGAAGACGTGAAACCGACTACAATTGAAGTTGGTCAAACAATGTCCAGATTTTGTATGCATTCAAGTTTTATCTTTCTTTTATATATGGTGATAATTTTTTTGTGAGGTTTATTAACTCTTCTAAACTTGGAAGATTAGCAAAATAATGCTTGACAGGAATGTAATGTGTGGAATAACAATTAGCAGTCTCTAATGGATGGTGTCAGTGGCTATTCATTGATACGGAGAAAAATATATACTATATATTTTTTCCTATTATCTTTTGAGAAAGCACCAGGATTTATTTATTGTAGTGAAAATAATATTTGCTACTTAATTGACAAATTTTTAGCTGTTTCTGGTGATCATCCTCCACGCTCTATTCTTAAACATAGTTCACAGTGCACGAAATTCAATGTGAAATGTGTAGATCAAAGAAGTACGTTACTCACTTTTATATTTTTTCTAATTGCTAATTTATGATTATTAGTATCATTTGCGAAACCAGCTATCACTGAACTGAAATGTTTTGTAAAAGCCCTTATGAGATTGACGATTTCATAAAAATAGTCTTTTTCTTTTCACTTTATATTTTCATGAGATTAAGCTGGGTTCTGATTTTTCCCTTATTCTAAAAGCAGGAAAGATTATGATGACGTGCTTGTAGTGTAGAAGAAGAGAGGTAGTAGGTTTTTACACATCTGTGGATGACTGAGGAAAGAGAATGGTAGATAACGTGCAATGACAACAGTTTTTCATTATCATGGCAAGTAGTCTGTCTGAGTAATCATAGTGGACCAAAGTGCGCAACAATTGTTTTCAGCAGTGGAGACGAAGATAGTAATTCCGTATTGCATGTGACCTTCGTTTAAGTATTCGCAGAGAGAGCAGTTGTTTAGCTACTGTTGTTATTCATTCCCGGGACGCACTGCTTTTGTGTAGTGTATGTGTTATTAGGCATGAGATGGCATCCACTTATTGTTTGTTGACAGCTAATTCTTCAAGTTAGATATTTGCTGGGAAATTATGTCATGGTATTGTCCTTTTGAGCTAGAAGGCACGAAAAACAGTAGCAATTTGGGGCTGGTCTTTGCGTGGGGTACAGAATGAGAACTGTATGTATGACTACTGCAGATGAGCAAAGCTGTAGCACAAATGCATGTTTTTCATATGTGTTGAAGACATGGAAAGGGGCAATGATTGAGTAAGGATAATAGTTGGGAGAGGCGATGGATCATACTCGAAGTTTCTACTTTTACGAGCTAAGAATCCTCTACCAAATGGGGACAGAGTAGTCGCTTCTTCCCAATATCCCTATGCAAGCAGTTGTATTCTTAGAGGGACGGAGTAACTGCATTCCAGTTGTCCGCAAAACGTTGCAAGTTTGACATTCTGAAAATACCAGAAATAGCTTGTAATTCCCTGGTGTGTTACTACGGTGAACTTGTAGGAGTGTTTTGGCCAGTTGTAGAGTAGGTAGGTCCGTTGATAGCAATGCATCACAGTTATTACTTCAATTCGTTTGCGCAACTCATTCAGGCCACTCTACCCTAATTGCTTGACTGCTTGTACAGTTAACACTTCAGCACCAGTGGCTGCAGTCACGTTATTATTACTAGCAGAGTAATGGATGAAAACAAGTCGCGAGACAGAGTTGGGAAAATGATCCACTCACTTGCAACCTCTCCACTGCCTCTCGAACTAACTGAGCAGCAATGTTATTGACGAATTAGGGAGCAAGACACTCAGTACGTAAATGCTGCTGTTATATTATTGTGTCTGCTTTTGCTTATCTATGCTACGTCCGTGGGCGTTTACCGATATCTGTCCATCTGCAGTTTGTTGACTGCAGTCGCTATACTAAGGCTTCTGCTGCTGCTGCTGCTGCTGCTCGGGAACAATGGAGAGCAATTCGAAATCAATGACGGAGAGTGGATGCTGGTGATTGCTTGGCACGACATCACAGCAGACGCAACCTATCTCATGTTCTTCTCCCTCTCTTCCCTTTTCCCTCTTCCCTCTTCCCTCTTCCCTCTCCCCTGCCTTTCATGAATTGTTTTGCCTTGCTTTCCCTTCTCGTGATATCATCACAATCACACAAGCATGTGATTCCTTCTACCCATCCATACCTCCTCTATTTTCAGCTGTAGTTGTCTTATTGAATTTATCTATTCTTTACACTTCGTATTGCACTTCCTTTGCGTGTTCTTCTTCACTGAATTCATGTGGGAGTGTTCTTGCTACAATACTAGGAATAGTTAGTTATTGAGGGTGCTGCTGCCAAATCGAAATACTAATTTGCAATGACTGATACAGTAGAAGATTCCGGGTTTTTCCTCACTATACTACACGGTGTGTATGCATTGATCTCACTCATTTTTCGCGCCATTCTCCGATTCGGCCTCTCTTCAGCACTTATCGCATCTTTTTTTCTGACCCTTCATGCTGCTGGCCAGTTCAGCAAGCAAGCTTTACAGCGCAGACAAGATGGTATGTAATATCTTTCAATTACATCCTCATCTGTGTTTCTGGAATTGCAGAATCATCCTGTCATGAATCTTGCTTTCAATTTTTTATGTTACTTCCTGTTTAGTACGGTTTTTCATACTTTTTTCTCTCGAGAGCACTGTATTTGTTGTATCAACTTTATATATTTATCATAACTGTAGAACAAACTCCAAGCAGATTGAAAGTGAATTAAATTTGTAGAAACATTATGATCAAACTTCTTATTCACTACATATTGGTCAATATTAGTTATCAATGACGTTTATTCATGACTTGTAGTTCTGGACTTGGTGTACTGGCGAGATCCAGTCAAATCGGGTGCAGTGCTTGCTACTACGCTTGTTACCTTGATTGTTTTTGCGAAATTTCCTTTGACTGCCGTCATCAGTTATCTTGCATTAGCAGTCCTTGGTGGCACTCTTGGATTCCGTATATATAAATTGCTTGAGGCTCAAGTAAGAAAAACTGATGGTGCTAATCCTTTCCAGTAAGTTAATGAATACCAATTTCAGTTTGACATATCTCTTGTACGTTCGAGAACTGTTCCTGCAATATAAAATGCAGGCCAGTTCCGTCGCAAATGAAAAAAGCATTCCATTCATTGAAATTAAATTTTTTGAAGAATTTAAAATCACGTCACTGATTAATTATATATTTAGCTTTTAATTCAGGACGTATTTAAATCGAGAATTTCACTTACCACAAGAAAAAATACATCAACAACTCGATACATTGATTGAACATGCCCAGTTGATTGGTAATGAACTTCGGCGACTATTTTTGGTTGAAAGCGTTGTGGACAGTGTTAAGGTTAACTATACTTCTAATTCAAAACATGAAATCATTTCGTTCCTATTGCATACTCTTGCTCATAAATAATGTATTAAGTGATAAAGGTGTTGCTTGCTTTTTGTTTCAAAAATTATTCTATTAAGACAGGTTTATTATGTTTTTAAGATTGGTTAAATAATTTTTTAGTTTGGTTTGTTGCTTTGGGCGCTTACATACGTCAGCAACTGGTTTTCTGGTCTTTGTATATTGATTCTTGGTGAGTTCATCCATCTCTTTCGTTGTTTTCTAAACAAATATTAGAACGTTGCAACTAATTCGTTTCACAAATGAAGAAAGTGACACAGTCAATATATTGGCTTTTTTTTTTGTACTTCTCACAGACGTGATCTGAGAGAGCTTGATGTCATGATTTTTTATTGCTAAGAAAACTATTTGGTGTCATCTTTTCAATCACGGAATTGATTTTAGCAGTACTTACTGTCTTCACTGTTCCAAAAGTTTATGAAGTTTACCAAGAGCCCATCGACCATAATATTTCTACAGTCAAACAACATTTGAACGATGTTAACACGAAGTAAGTATTTCTTGTAATTAGCAGAGATAATCAGGTAGCATGGTTGTTTACAATAACGCTATATTACAAAGTCCGTAAGCATTCAATGAAGTAACTGCCTTTTTATCCAGCATGCTTATAACATAAGCACATTCATTGGAAAGCAATCAATTTGAAAGGCACAAGGTAGAGTGAACTGAAAAAATTTTCTCGTAAGCTGTTGTTGCCTGCTACTTCTTTTTGTTTCCCCTATGCTACTTCATTTTTCTTGCGTGTCAGTTGAATCATTACTCTTTTGAAAGGTGACGACAATTCTGTGCTCCTCGAGGTGGCATTTTTTCTATTCCTCCGAAAATACTGTTATGATTGACTACTAATGCTAAGAAATTCACTATATTATTGTTCATCTGTCATGTAGAGAAGTAATAATTCTCCAATTACAAACCATATTTCACAAAAACCTGGAAAATATTTTCAGACTTAACAAGAAACTACCGGCGTTCATGAAATCTTCAGTTTCCGATATCAGCCACGAAAAATCAAATTAATTGTGTGTTTCTTTTATAGCGTGGTGTAACAATGCTTTGTTTTTGCTCTGTCAGTGCTCACATTCTGCTGGCTCATGCTTTTTCTTCACTGATGACTGGAAATGCAATCAGTGGGTGGCAGATAGGTATATGTTGAACACTTATCCCTCCTCCATCAGTGGTTTTTGCTAAGGAAAATTTCTCCCTAAACCTTTCTAGCTTTTACTTAATTTTACTGCACCTAGAAATGCAATGACGAAAAGCCATTGTAACTTGTGTGTTATTTTGTAGATTACCAGGAAAACTGCTAGTTTTTATCTCGATTCCAAAATCGATCATTTTTTAAGGGAAATTCAGTTGGGGAACCTTGAACTGCTGACTGGTACATATTTATGCTTTTTTTAATTAAAGGATACTATTTGGTGATATTTGGTTTGGTATTCAGGAGTGTTATTTTCATTAAGCTTTTATTATATTCCTTTGAAATATTTCTTTTGATTGTAATATCAGCTTATTCTCACTGTATAGAAATACCAAATATTGTACAGTAGCACTCTGCTTCATAATTTTTGAAATGAAAATACGACTTATGTGGCTGAAAAGCATAGCTTTCTTCTTTCTCTATTTCTGTTTGATGTATAATGTCGTGCAGTGATATCGCAGTTTTTCAGTATTTCTTGCATAATTAGTTTGCACCATGCAATTAAGTCAATGTATTCATTGAGATAAAAATTTGTTGTATCATCTGGACGTCTTTTATGGAATTACGGAACTTGTAAAGTTAAAGATATCTCTCTCCAGATTTTTCTATGATTGCATTTATATGCTATTGTTTCTTCTTCCTTTTTGCTTCATTTTTGAATCCTCACATGAAGTTAATCTGTTCTAATTTCCTATCGCAATAATAGTCTCGCGATACATTGATGTTTCTCAAGTATTTGCATCCTATATGCTTTGAAGTCAATATTGTATTAGGATTGTAAACTTGACTCTATCAACTCTATCTATTTTTGTATCGTTTTTAAATTTCTAAAGTATTTTTAAAATATACATTATTTGAATTTGTAAACAGTTCAAGTGTTGCAATAAAGAATTCCTAGAAATTTTGAACTATAGAAATGGAACTCTATAGAAGTAGTAGATCTGTCATTACATATATTTTCATTCCTGTCTCTCTTTTGCTTGAAAGTGAACACATTCACCTAATAGCGGTGAATATGCTTTCTAATTTTTGGTGGTCATGTCTTGTTGCATGATTGAGTTTGGATTGTAGAGCTTGTTAATAACTGATTCTGGAGTATCTCAATTGCTATTATTCCAATTGAAGGTTTGGCTTTATATAAGTAAAGAATAAGAACTGTGGTGGGGCTTTATGGGAAGTGTTAAAGGAATACAAATGCACAAAACCAAACCTGATTAATGGTGTACAGTGTAGTGGTTTTGCCTTACGATAGCAGATATGGAGAGTTAGTAGTAACTTTGGATTTTAAGTTCACTTTCGTAATCAGCATTGTCTGATATACGAGAAAAGATGCTACCTGTAAACTCGGATAACCGTGTTTCTACGTTAGGAGAATGTGTCGCTGTAGTTGACCTGCTGGTTTCGGTACATTGGTCGAGTATCTTTCCATGACTTTCACAATATTTCTCCATGACCTTCACAACAGCTTCACCTATTTCCTTTCTGATTCCAGGCTCGGCTCTTTTCGTTTTCCCTCCATTTCCTGCTTTCCTACTTTGTGATGCGATCGACTGAACTGACAGCTCCCGCTAGGCAACTCAGCAGAGCTGAACAGTATATATATAAATATAACAATCTGAGCGTGGGACAAGTAATGCAAGAGTGCAGGAATGCAATCCAGCGCCAAAATCAATAAAGCAAAAATCAAAATTGGCCTCCACATTTTATTTCATTAGTATATATACAATCATGGTATTTGAAAAGTATGTGCAGCGCAGTGAGAGATAGTTTTGCTAGGTGAGACTTAATTATTTTTGGAATTTAGTGTGTGTTCAAGTCTAATTTTATTTTGCACCGGGAATGCGTGATGCTAGTTCTATGTACTTTTATGTACACATTATCACACGCACAATAGCAATTGGTAATATGAACAGAAGAAGTGAGGGATGGGATGGACGAGAGGTTAAGTATGTTGTGCTTCATACTGCATGGTAGCGTGAGTTACGGTTTTGTTAATAGTTTTAAGTAACGCTATTTTTGGTAAAAGAGTGCAGTACGGGGTTCTTTTCATGCTCTGGAAGGTCTTCCTTAATAATTCCATCAGATCCACGAAGTTATAATCTAATAATTGCAAGAAGTATCACTGTTATGACATAAAGAAGGTTATGATAATTTCTGTTTATACTTGAACCACCATTACATCCATCTGTGTCGCACGATTGTACACATCCTGCGTACTGGTGACCTTCATATTTGAAGTGACCACAGTGAGATATGCGCACTATTTCTACAACAGTGTATAGTTTTTAATCATAAGATGTAAGTAGATTTGAAGACAACTATGAAGTGTATAATCGCATCTGCAATTTGTATGACTACGCAAATAAATTCTTATGAAGTATCAGAACTGAAAAGAGTCAAAGTCAGACATTTCATTCTATTTATTTATCATTACCATCGCTAAACATTTTACTTACCCGTATCTGCTGTCAAAGTACCTGAATCCAGTGCACACGTCCGAATAACCATGGTTTGTGATGCGTCATCTGCTGCAGTAAGGAGAACGTAAATATTATTTTGCACTCGTTTATTATGAAGTAAAATAGTGTCTCAATATACATATTCATAAAGCTATGGTTTAGATCAGCACTATAATACATCAAATTAATAGTATTTTGGAAATAAATGCTAATTCTGACAGAAAGAAAGTAGTAACCAAGTCATCATTTTGTAAATATTTAGTTACTCAAATTGTTCATTCACTAAAATTTTTAGCGTACTTCGGTATCCATTCACTTTGATACAGTGATCTGCGGGGAATAAACCTTGTCGTTGTTTTTTGAAAGCCCAGCACGGATACCTGTAATTACCTATGCCAACGGTGTCTGATTCATCATGGGTAGTAATCGTAGAATTGAATATATCCTCACAAGTAGGATCAGATCCGTTGAACGATGAACAAACAAAACAACCGATACAGTCTATCTCTATAACATAATTTTTACCAGTTATAACACAAGTAATCAAAATTATAGAGGATGTAATGCCATGAGAAACAATAATGGAAGATGTAAATGAATAGAAGAAAAAAGTTTTTAATGAAGGGTAATAACTTGTTTGTTTTACTTACCTTGCACTATCATCATGACAATTATTATAAATGGACCGATCCTTAGTATCGGCTTGTCCAGTAAAGAATTTATGCAAAGCGCCATAAACGTTACACATTAAAAAGTCAACAATATATTGTTAGCAAGGTCAAGATCAAATAAGGGTGACTAAGTAAATTTGGTACTAGATTGAATTGAATCTCCTGATGTCTTGCCTGTACTGCTACTAATCAAGGCACCTCGTGCACAGCTCTCAACTGATTGAATGCAGATTTTTGATCGGATTTATTCGCACAAAATTTAAACACTATAGTACAGCAATACTGGTAACAAGAATAGTAGTAATGATGATGATAATAAGAAGACAGATCAAACTTTATGCAAAGTTCAGCAAATTGAAGTGGTCAAAAAATATGAATTTGATTATCCAAGCAGTATGGAGCAGAGAGAGGGATAACTCGGGAATCAGTACCGAGTAATCGTTCCCCCTCTCCCTCCGCGGATTCACTCAGCCAGAAGAACACTTCTTCCAATTACTTACCAGCACGATAACCTTCAGCAGATTCTTTAGGATAAATTTCTTATCTTAACAAATCAATAAAATGATCACAATTTGTGATGATACATTTATGTTATCACTTGTAAGCTTATTCTTAAAATTTTTTCTATGATACCTAAAAATAATGAAAAAAACTAATTACTTCAAATATGAATAATTAAGAAATGCACAAAATAAATGTCACAAAAGATTTCAAAGGTAGATAATCGAGCATCAATGAATACAATGTTTTGTTCTCAAATAATAATATCTCACAAATTAAACTTATTTAATTTTTGCATGTACATCAACAATTGTAAGAAGTAAAAATTGTGCATACACATGATCATCGTTGATACTACTAAAATTATCTTAAACCAAGTTTTGAATTATTAATTATTAAATTAGTTATTTGAATAATTAATCAGCTGATTAATTATTTAATTATTCCTTTATTTATGCATAATGTACCAAATTTTTGGATTTCAGCACATTTCAATCTTGATGAGTTATGCTAACATACTTATCAGTGATTTCTTGAGAAGACAATAAAACAATTGCTTGAGAATCCTTTTCAATTGATGAAGAAGTCTTCATCAACAAATATTGAATCTGATCATAATTTGTTATATCTAAGATTTGTTTTCTGAGAAGTGAAAAATAAGTTAAATTTAGAAAGAAAGCAAGTAAAACTTAATTAATCTTAAATACAAATATCATAATAGCATTTAAATGTGCTACATAATAAATATGTCTGTGTAATTATGAGAGGGAAAACGAATAACTAACTGTATTTTTTATATATTTAAAAAATATTTGTTATGATTCCAAATTTTTAATTAATAATTATTTTATGTTCGTAAAATTAAGAATAACATATTATTATTGTTGATATAAAATTTAAATATTCAGATTACCTCATAAATAGCTGTAATTATAATGAATCGTATAAATAAAGAGAGTTCATACCAGTTCTCCTATATTTATAGAAATAATTGAATTTTTAAATAGTAGTATACATTTGTCTAAGTTGAAAAAAAGAAGCAAAATTTTCTCTTTTATGGAAATAAGCATAAATTAGCAAAAGAATCCAATTACAGTAGTCAAAGAGAAGCTTACATACTTTAATCTCTTTGATATAAAATCAAAGTTAAAATGTGAGAATTTTAGCACTGAAAATCATCAAAATATTTTGACATAGTTTGAAGAAACAAATAAGTTTCTTATTAATGATGAATCCTAACATTTTCTTCAGCTCCTAAATGTGTAAGATTGATTGTGTGTAAAGAAGTAAATCCCATAAAATCCATTCAATTCATCCAATCCATTCATCTATCCATTCATCCATTCATCCATTCATTTATCCATCCATCCATCTATCCATCCATCTATCCATCCATCATCCATCCATCTATTCATTCATTCATTCATCTGTCCATCCATATTGTTAAAGATTGAATG